TCTTTTTATGGTGTCACACAATTCCTGCATATTCCATTCTTGTGATTTCTTAAATTTTTCATAATCTTTGCTTGTGTGGTCTAGTTCATCCACTTTGTCTTCCAGTCTTGGTATTCTGTTTTCCATTTCGTTCATCCTATTGGTGAGGCTTTCACCTGTCATTTCTAATTGGTTTACTGAGTGTTTCACTTCCTTCTTCATTTCAGCCTGAGTATTTTTCAATATTTCTAACTCTTTTCTGAATTCACTCAGAAGTTTATCCCTATCTTCCTTCAGTTCTTTGATTTATATGTGTGTGTGTTCTCTAAATTCACTGAATTATTTTATCATGTTTATAATTGCTCTTTTGAGCTCCATGTCCTGCATTATCTCTAGGGGATTCTCATTGTGCTCCTCTAGAGAACTATTGGTATTTGGTGGGGATATGTCATTTGGTTTTTCATGTTATTATTTTTTTTCTGTGACTTTGACATGTGTATTTCTTTTGTAGTTTCTGATTCTTGTTTGAGACTCACACCTTCAAGTTTAGGTCTGCTTCTTTTTGCGAACTTTATGTGTCCTTGTGGTTTACTTCTTGGGCATGGAAAGCTGGTTCCTGTAAGCTTCCAGTTCTCTCTTTTGATTTTATATTGGAGTGGCCAGATTGTTTTTATCTTCAGGATTTCCCACAGAGGCCCAAGTCAGATGAGGATCAGATGCTCTCAGGCTTTCTCCTAAGGTCTGGATCCCTCCTGGAAAATTTTGGCCTCAGGAATTTGGGGGTTGGACTGGTGTGGGAGCTGGGCCCAGGAAAGATGCTGGTCTTGGACAGCTGGTGGCCATGCCACCCAGAGATGCAAAGGGAGATGGAGGTGGGAAGAGGCCCCAAGTGCTCCTGGGGCCTGCACTGAGGAACTGGGTTGGTCTGGATGCAAAGGATCAGGAAGAGGAAAGGTCAGCCCCAGGAAAGAGGCTGGTCCTCGGAAGCAGAGGGAGGGGAGGGTGGCGCCAGGCCCCGAGGGCTCCTGGGGACTGCAGCAGGACCTGGGTTGGTCTGGATGCAAAGTACTCGGAAGCAGTGGTATTTCCCCCGTGTCTGGGGCACCAAGACAAGGAATGGGACAGGACCCAGGGTAGGAGGAGAGAGCAGCGTGGGAGATGGGAGGGTGAATGAGGCTGGAGGAGTCACGGGCACAGAGGATGGATGGAATTACCCTGGAAAGAGGCCTGTGGGTTGGAGAGAGGCCTGCGGGTTGTGCAGGCCTGGGGAAGTGTAAATATTTTTTTCTTAGTTGAATTAAAGCAGAGACTTTGTCATCATGCTTGTGACTAGGGCAGTTGAATATTTTCTTAGTGCTTATTTTATCTTTTGTCTATGTTTTGCATTATATCCCTCTTCTTGTAGTTCTTTTTATGTTCAGAGTATTAATCTCCTTTCAAGTAGATGTGTTCCAGATGGAATAGTTTATAATTTTGCTTCTCTTTTTTCTCCTTCCCCTTGAGGTTTATCTCACTTAGTAGCAGCGTCATTCACAGAAGATAGATTTGGAGTTGTCCAGACTACACTACCAGCTATCCTTAATACTTTGTTGACACTACAAGAGGTGAGAACTGATGTGGGTGCAGGTTGTCCCTCCACTGCCCTGTTTTTGTTTATTCGTTTTTGTTTTGTTCTGTTTTTGTTTGAGACAGGGTCTTCCTGGAGCCCGAGCTGGCTTAGAACTCAGTATGTCGACCAGGCTGGCCTTGAACTCACAAAGATCCATTTGCCTTCCAAGTGCTGGGATTAAAGGCATGTGCCACCACACCCAGTTGTTTCTTTTAAAAAAAAAAATTATTATTTTTATATGTATTTGTGTATTGCCTGCATGTATGTAAGTGCACCTGTGTTGTACAATGTCCATAGAGTTCAGAAGAGGGCATCAGATCCCCTGGAACTGGAGTTTTAGATGGTGTTTGTGGCCATTTGAGTGCTGGGATTTGTACATGGGCCCTCTACAAGAGTAGCCAGTGCTCTTAACCATTGCGCCATCTCTCCACCCCTTGTTTGTGTCTTAAATCTCACTTGTATAAGCATGTTGGAGGTTTAAATCATGAGTCCGTTCCCATTCCTAAGTAGTTGCAATAAAAAAGATAGAACAGGAAGAGAAAACTATTTGCTCTAAACTTATAGAAAAAGAAAGTATACTACACCTGTGTGATATATTTATGGTATTAGGTAGACAGTTTTGATTGTGTTTGATTTATTTTTCTCTTTCCCTCATTCTTTCTCTCTCTATATCTGTCTCTTTGATTTTGGGTTTTGGAATTTTGTGTTTTTTTTTGTTCTAGTTTTTGAATTCTTTTTTTCAAATAGGGTCTCCCTGTAGCCCCAGCTGGCCTGAAATTTGCTATGTAGACCAAGCTGTCCTCAATCTCACAAAGAGCCTGCTACTTCTGCCTCCTAAGTACTGGTATTAAACGCCTGCTGCACCAATCCTGGCCTTTTTATTTTCATTATTTTTATTTTAAGTGTAAGAGTGTATTGCCTGCATGTAAGTGCACTCATGTTGTGCAGTGCCCATGGAGGTCAGAAGAGGGCGCCAGATCTCCTGGAACTGCAGTTACACATGGTTGTCATATGTGAATGCTGGGATTCAAACCCAGGTCCTCTGCAAGAGCAGCCAGTGCTAGTGCTCTTAACCACTGAGCTATCTTTCCTGCCCCTCTTTTTATTTTTTTTTAAATAGGATTTCATGTGGTCCAGGCTGGCCTTAGCCTTGATATATAGCCAAGGATGACGAATTTCTGATCCTTCTGCTTCTACCTCCTCACACTTAGTTTTATGTGATACAGGGATTCCAACCCAGATTTCCATGCATACTCAACAAGCATTTTACCAAGCTACATCCCCAGTTCCAAAGTTTGGATTCTTATGCAATTTATAGCTGCTGAAAGTGGCCTGCGATTATTTTATCTTATTGACCGGGGGCTCAGCCATTGAATGCCCATCTCCAGTTTGGGTAGTTGCTTTTCACTGCAGGTATTTTTAATCCTGGACTTAAATGAAAGGCAGAAACATAAAGCCCATGCTTCCTACTCTCCACCAGGCCTCCTTTCTTAATGTAATGTTGAGTGTTTTAGTCCACTTTTACTATTCCTACGGCCATGCGTGGTATAAACACAGAGCTTGAGGCATTTAGAAGTAGTATTTGGGGGTGTAATAGGCTTTTTGCAGGAGATGTTGAATGAGACTTGAAGAATGCCAGTTGTTGCATCTTTGGTCTTGAGAAACTAAGATAATGAGAAAGAAACATGCTCCAGTTCTCAGTTCCTATTACTTCTTTGTTTAGTCTTACTCCCTAAAAATAGTGATTTTTTTTTTTTTTTTAACCCTTTTGTTATTATTGTAGCTTTGAAAATTCCTTTAGGTTTTGGTTTTTCAGTTTTATTTTGTTATTTTGAGGGTCTCATAGGTAGCCCAGGATGGCCTCGAGTCCCAGTCCTCCCGCCTCTGCTATCCAAGTACTGGGATTATAGATGTGCACTACCACTCCTGGCCTCATACTGTCTAAACTATACAACAGGTCAGTAGGAACTCAGGCATGTCTTCTCTCCTCACAACATCTTCATACTGTCTTTATGAAGTAAGTGAAATGACCCTAGTTACAGATGAGGGAGGCATATAAAGAGTATACAGAGGGATGAGGATTAGCTCAGTGAAGGCAACTTGCTCACAGGCAAAGCACTGGGTTTAGTTCTCGGTACCAGAGGAAAAAAAAATCAGTGGACAGTTCTGTAGCATTGAGTATATCCATTCACAAGGTACAACTATCACCACCATCAATCTCCAGAACTTTTTCTTCTGTAGAGTATGGTGCTTTAAAATTTTCAGAAAGTCATTGTGAAAAGACAGCATCACCTTGACATAGGCGATCAGCTCTGCCATGTTTTTTGCCTCATCATCTGAAAGTTAGATTTTTATCTTAAGAATATTGAAATTTATCTTTACACCATTCGCAGATTCATTCATTGATCCTTAACTATCAAGGGATTACCAAAGGACAACATACAGAGTGGAAAAATATACCTGCGGGCTGGAGAGATGACTCAGCAATTAAGACACTGGCTGCTCTTGCAGAGGACCCGGATTCAGTTCCTACTTCCCACATCAGGTGTAGTTCTGAGCATCAGTTACTTCGGTTCCAGGGAATCTGACTTCCTCTTCTGGGGCCTGGAGGCATTGCACAACATGGGTACACTTTACATATATGTAGGCAAAACACTCATATACATAAAGATAAATAAAATGCTTTAAAAACACAGACACCAGTTTTAAGAGCTCAGTGTAGCTGGGCGTGGTGGCATGCACCTTTAATACCAGCACTTCGGAGCCAGAGGCAGGCAGATCTCTGTGAGTTCAAGTCCAGTCTGGTCTACATAGTGAGTTCCAAGCCAGCTGGGGCTACAGGGAGAAGCTGTTTCAAAAAGACCAGAAAAAAAAGAGCTCGGTATGTAGAGTGTAGGATGACAAACCAGAACAGATGATTCCAAGATTTTTCCTTTTCCTTTTATTTTGTGTGTGTATGTTTGCATGTATGTGCATGCATGTGTGCCTTAACATGTGTGGTGCTCAGAGGACAATC